ACTACTCAGGTGACTGTTAAGGCCCTTGGGCCTCTTGTTGAAGAAGCAGTTTTCTGATTTTCAATTTTCAGAAGTTCTTTGGAGTTTTTGAGGTTATGTTACCCGGTAAATTTTGTTGAATACATCACCCAGGCACAACACTGTTTATCAAATTTCCTATTGATAGACAGCTTAGGGGCTTAACTGATAGGGAAAAAACTTAAACATTTCAAAATTACCTTTGGAAAAAAAAACTATTTTAACAAGTTGCTCCTAACTGTCTGATTAAAGTAGAAATATCATTCATTATTTTTCAGAGAAAAATGTCATAACTTGAAATATGACATATCCTGATTCCAAATTCAGCCCATAATGTTTTGCCCAGACTATTCTAAGTCAGTTTTGAGCTACAGTCTTATTAGAGACTTATGGTTGATATAAATTTGCTCATTAAATGATAATAATCTATTCTTCTTTTTTCATATCAAATCAAGAATATTTTTGCTACAAAATAAAAAATCTGTAGATACCTCCATCTGTACCCTAGGATTTTCTAACACAATTTCTGCTTAAAAAAGCAAAAAAAATAGCACTCTTTCAATAAAGAGGTGAAAACATTGATGATCACATTTGTATAAAAGTGAAATGAGTGTATAATGTTTAAAAAAAAAGCAGAAATAAATGAAGGGTTGTGACCTCTTCTGCAGATTTTTTCCTGAATTAGACAGCAGAAGGCAGAATTCCATTTCATATTGTTTCTTATTGACATGAATGCTGCTCTTTATTTGAAATAAAACTAATTTCAGCCAGTGGGCAGTGACACTGGGGGGGGGGGGGGGATTAACTTTATATGGTTAAGTTGTACGCTTGCTGCAGTAGTGACTCCTCTGAATGACATTCAGTCAAGCATCATAAAACCTGAAGAAATGTCTCATTAAAGTTGATATCTCCATCTTACTCAGTGTGTATACCATCAAGCAGACATTAATTTCATCATCCCAGGATCTGCAGGTCTTAATAAGGGCCAGGGTTTCAGGATCTAAGGATTGCTTTACTGGGCATTTCTTTATATTAATTACCTATTTATGGTCAAAAAACATTAATATCATGTTATTTATGTCTCTGTTATGATGCAGTACATGGATATATGCAAGATATAGAAAACAGGGTTATTTATGATTTTCACCCTTTCAAACTTGCAAACAATTTTGCCCCATTTTAAATTCGCCCAGAAAAGGTTGTGTTAAAAAGATAATGTTGTGTTCCTTGAATTTGCCCATCATAAAACGGAAAAATTAGACATGAATTTTTTTCTAAATTTCTTTTTCTAGATGATTGGGAAATGATTCAACATCTCACTATTTCTGTAATTACAAATACAAGGGGTTATCAAAAAGTTTGTGGAGTGATGTGATAAAGAACTGCGAACAATAGTATTGTTCTCCCGCCTATCTCCAAGTCAATTTTCAAAAGTTAACACATTTGAATGATTTTTCATACAGTCAAACCTTGTTATCTTGAACTTGAAGGGACCGAGAAAATACTTCAGGATATCCGAGGATTCGAGATATCCAGGGTAAAATACTTAAGGAATAAGCAGTTGGGACTCCAAAATGACTTCGACATATCCATGGTATTCGAGATATCCATGTTCAAGATACCGAAGTTCAACTGTATATATATATATATATATATGAATATTTATATGAATTTTCGTAAAACATTACTTCTTTGGAAAACAAAGAGAGATAACTCTATAATTTTGGTAAAACTTGTGTTTTTCACTATAGAAGTCAACGGAAAATGGAAAACATTTTTAAAACATCTTACCCCCCCCCCCCCCCCCCCATTGAAATAGAAATTCCTTTTTACAGGTAATATGGAGGACTGTCATTTCGCAAATTCATACCAAATCTTTTTGTGTTTGTGCCAAATTGCCATTAGCATTGAATTAAATGGGTGTAAAATGTAGGCAGGAATCGAGAGTTAGTGTGTGTAGTTCTTTAAATACTCTGTAGTCTGTGCTTACAAAATTTATAAAGAACAAATAATAAAAAAAGTTTAAGAAATGTTGACAATTTTAGCTTGATATGTTGATAATTTGCCAAATTATTATCAAATAAAAAGACATTTTATAATCACCGGGCACAGTGGCCATTTGGTTTCATGACATCAGACAATGTCATTGTTTTTCAATGTCCACTCCCTCTGCCTCAGAACACTTATCTTGAGGAGATTCCCTGGAATTAAGAAAGTACTTAAACCCGTCTTGCTTAAATGACTTTACAATGTCATGAACACTGCTTTCAATGAATGTAATATTGTAAATGGCACATTACATAGGGAAAGATCCTCACTTGATTATGTCAGCATATTCTGAGTTCAATATTTAACACACATAATCAAAGTCACTTTTCGACACCCTGACTACAAATCTACATTAATTGTGCATCTCTCATCTCTCTGAATCTTTTTCGACATTTAAACATGAACATTTTGGATGCATTTTATTTCTCTGTAGCTGTTAAAACATTTCCTAGGTTTATACCATTTTTTTCCAGGAGTGAAACTTTATAGAACGCTGGAAAAAGAAACACCTCCCCCCCCCTTTTGACGTCACTTTCAAGCCCTTAATTGTTTGGACACTCCATATAAAATTTACATTGAAATATCAGAGAACTTACAAAATGAGATAAAAATTGCAAATTTTATGGAACAAATGTGTCATACCACTTGCCTGAATTAACGGGATTTTTGGATGACAAAATTTCATATCAAAAGAGTTTTAGAAGTAGAGTTTTAGAGGTAGAAAAAATTTCGTGTTTGAGGTTGCGCTGCCTAGACATACCATTGCTCATGAAAACATTAACAATTTATTAAAAAATAAAACTGATGAATTATTGTTTATTCTATTGATAGAAAAGATGATTCTAACTAAATCCGTTGATGTACCTAAAGCGGTTTTAATTTCAGGAACTTTTTGATAACCTTTCGTATATATCATTTGTAAAGTTTAGATAATTTGCCTTATTCTTGTAGGAAATTCTAGATCAAGTTTTGCTAAACTTATAGGGTATATCAATCTCATTTTGTTCAAATGAAGGACCAGTATTTAGCAAAATTTAGAGTCTGTATTTATAAGCATGTGACATTATTGTTGTGTTACCTGTTGTCAAGTGTGTTGCTAATGCTGAGGGTAACATTACAAATTGTTAAATGCATCTAAACAAATCAGATTTTACTATTTAACATGAAAGTATAATAATGATTTTTGTTCACTATTGCTTCATTGTCTTCGAACATTTTTTCTGAAGAAATATGGCTGGCAAAGTATGATGAAAATGAACTAGATAAAGTTAATATGTGTAACAGCTTTATATGATACAATTTTCTCAAAGTCCAAAAAACATTTGTACATTAGTGTTTATAGAGCTTCCTTAATAGCTCTAGCTCAAAACTGTTATCATAATGTTTTGTTGCTTTCTTTGTTTTTGTTTTATTTTGTTTGTTTTTTTTTTAAAAATATTTTTTGCAGAAAAAATGGAGATGTCTGGCTGTTTTACTTGATATGACCTCATAATTAAAATCTTCCAGGCAGACTGCACCATCTGGCATTGATAAAATATAGAAGTTGTTTTGGCCTAAATGATATGTTGTTTGATCATTTAACACGAAACACTGGTGATTAAATGTCACCATATAAAACATGCTTTCACTGGAAGTAATAAAATAGAAGATGAAAGATGTTCTCTTCAGGCAAGAGATAATTTGATTTTAAAAATGGTGAAGTACTGCCTAGGAAAAAAATGTAAAAGAAGGAAAATAAAAAGACCAAAAAAAAAAAAAAAAGAAACCAAAAAACAAATACATGTACTACAAATCAAATTGTTAGATATATATGGTCACTCTCCTTGTAAGTTTAGCTTGAAATGTTTCAAAACTTCTCTAAATCTGCAGACTTTATAATCTCTGGCAATGAAATTGGTAAGTGTATTTAATGCAGGGTTTTTGTGACTTATCTGTATTATCTGATTTGTTACAACATCATCAAACTTACTTTGACCTTAAGATTTTGAAATGATTTGCACAGGAAACATCTATTCTGGAGATTATATATTATGTATACATAATTCTGATCTATTGAAAGAACTTGCAATGAGTACAAAAACAACAGTTTATTTTAAAGAATTCTTTTCATTCTAGTAGAAGTTATAAAAAATACTCATAATGTTGCAATAAAGATTTCCTGCATTTTCAAATCAAAAATTAAGGTGTAATACTGAGTTATTGCTGTGGGAATTATGTTTTGCAAGTCGTAATATATAAACATATACTGTAAACATACCTTTTTCACAAGGTCATAATTCCATGGAATCACAATTTCTGTACAATCCCTGGATACAGAATTATGTGAATGATGTTTAATTGTTAATGTCAGATGTTTATGTCAACTTGTCAGATCTTTTGTTGACTTGTGTTTTATTTACATGTTTAAAAATTTAACATTAATATGTGTCCATGCTTATTTTGTGTTATCTAGTCAACTTAAGGATCTGACAAGTTGACGCATCTGACGAGGGGACATCACATTTTATTTAGTCATCATAATTATCAGAGTCAACATAAATATCAGACAAGTCAACATAATTATCTGATAAGTTGACATAACATCTACCTAACGTTGCCAACATAATTTTCTGAAAAATTGACATAGCATCTTACAGGTCAACATTGTCATCTGGCAAGTTGACATAAGGTCTGACAAGTGACATCATATGATAAGGTAGAATATTATGATGATTTGTCAAAAATTATATTGAGTTTTCAGATAAATATAATGACTTCTCAGATAATTTTGTCAACTTGTCAGATAATAATGTTGACTTGTCAAAAAATTAGGTCAATTTGTCAGAAAATTATGTGAACTTGTCAGAAAATTTTGTCAATTCCTGACGACAGCTTCAAATTTGGTCAGTTTTTGAAATATAGTTTAATAATAAATGATTTCTTTTTAATTGCAGGCTTTGAATAAGCTATGTGAAGAAGTTAAAAAGAACTTGTCCAGGGAAAACAGATTGACAAACTCATCAGTAAAGGTAAAATTGGAAGCTTACTTCGCTAGTGGACTGTATTTTTGAAACCATGTACCAGGTATCAAAATGTGCCACAGGAGATGGTACATCACTGCTTTGTCAAATATCTTCCTCAGATGTTGACTCTGATGTATATGGTTATACAGGTACACTTCATGATGACCTTGGTTAAGGTTTGATCACCATTGTGGTAGTGATCAATCCAAGCAAACAAAGATGTTCTATACATTTATGCTCCTTTGCAGTGCTGCTTTTGACCTACATTTCAATCTTTCATGTCTTGTGTTAAGGAAAGGTTAGAGTGTTTCCAAGTACCTGCTAATAAGGGATGCGGGATTTTATTGGTATAGTGGTATATTGTGATTTTTTATTGTGCGATTCGTATCATGATAAGAGACTGAAATACCGGATTTTAGTACATAATTAAACATTCCGGAAATATTTCATTTATTTGTTTAAACTTTAAGTAACATATGGCATAAGTGTAAAAATGTTGTAAAACAACAGCATCCTAGCATCCAAACATGCTTTATTTATATTTAAATGAAAATGAAAAAAAGTCAAATTACATTTTCACACCATATTCGTTAGAAAAATTATGGATACCTCGTTTATTTAATAAAATCATAGTACAAATTAAATGTAAAGATATCATGATATTCCTGGAAAATATCTTGATATATCACAATATGATTGATTGATTGATTGTGTGTTGTATTATGTCCTGTTCAAGAATTTTTCACTAATATAGAGATGTCAAAATATACCAGTGAAGGGCTTCAAATTTACACCTTTACTCGGCACTCAGGGCCATTGAGCAGTGAGGGTTCTTTATCGTGCCAATGCCTACTGTGACACGGGGGCCTCAGATTTTAAAGTCTAATCCGAAAGATCCGCAACTTTCACTCCAAAATGCTGAGCACTTGGCAAAGAAACAGTTGCTACCTATTTTTTATTGACTTAGGTCAGTTGAGGCGGTGATTAGAACACACAGCCTCCTGATCATGGAGCGAGCGGTCTACCGACTGAGCTATTGTTAAGGTTATATCATAATATGAAATTTTTGGATATACATATACCCATCCTTACTGCTTATGTGATATGCAGAGGTATTAGCCCCTTCACAGTAACTGTGGTATTACTCTTTTGCAGGGCAAAATAATAACGATTGGCGAATTTTTTTTTGAGAGACAATTAAATGATGTATATTTAACAATTACTTTTACGTCATATTTCACCAAACTATATCATTTTGCCCTGCAAAAGAGGAGTACCGCAGTTACTGTGAAACGGTCTATTGTGCATATATGGTGCAACAGTGGATGCCCAGTAAGATGTATGCTTTGAATGCTACATTTTACATGACTTTGTGCTTTATGCTTTACTAATTTCTACATCAATTTTTATGCTTATCCGATGCATCTATGAATTTTTTTTAAATATAAAATATTTCAGGTTTTTATTCATAGTCCCAATGATCTGTCTTATTATTACAATTAAATTTTATAATGTTTTTATTCAGTACTGTATGCAAAAGAATGTGAAAATGTGAATTTAGATCCTTGTGAAGAATAATTTGCTTTTGACTTTAAAACAGAATGCAGAGTACAGACTATTGGAGGAAAAATGTGGTGCTATGGAGACAGTGGTTGCTAAGGCAATTAGTACAGCCATGGTGGAGTTAGTGAGTGATGGATTGGCAGATTTTTCAACTGTTCTGGAATCATTCCTTAATCAAGTGCCAAATGCAAAGTAAGACTTGCCTTTTACCAAACTGAGATTGATCATCAGTTCTGTGATCAAATCATTATGGATCACAGGGCAGCTGACATTTTCCGTCCTCCCTCTCAACACATGCCCTTTTTGATCTCAGTGAATGACTTAAATGGCTAACTTTTTAAAACTTCCTTATTCTGTTTTATTTACCATTCTATTTTTCATGCAACCTCCATAGTTTCAGCTAATTTTGCAATATCCCCAGATCCTCACAACCTTTGGTTTCGCGTGAGAAAAGCCATTGTACAAAAGAATAACATACTTCAAAACATATAGACATTAATTCAATTGCTTACAAAATATTTTTGGATCATGGTTGTTTTTCAGTGGCATCCGTAAAAAGCTGAGTAAATTACACCGCCTAGATGTGAAACACATTATCCAGGGAGCACCTTGTGTTAAGAATACATTACAATGATTACATTATGGTTCTTGACATTTCTGCTACTGTCTTGTATTGATACTAATACGAGACACAGTATAAACTAATTATCTACACTCCCTTCCTTTTACTGGGTCTTTAAAATGGATTCCTAAACCAAGGATCTAGAGCAACTGTTTGGGTTACAACTCTGAAACTTGAAGCGAAAGCTATCGTGTAAATTATGGATATTGATTTGGCCCTATCAGACTAATAACCTATGTTGCTCCTTATCATTGCATGATGATCACCATGAAGAAATCTGTTCATGTCACATTAAATCTAATCTAACTTCTCCTTGTAAGAAAAAAATTCAGATCAGCAATCTTTTGAAATGCTCATTAAGGACAAGGATATTTGAAGAGAAATTAGATTAATCAAAGTTTGACAAAGAAGATCTTGTCATTATGCTAATATCTGAGAATTTTTGTTCGAAATTAAATTTTTTGTCGTACTTTATGGCTGTTATATGACAAATTTAATTAGTAGTTGTATTTTTGTATTCAAATAGAAGAAGATATCCTGCTAGTGCTCAATAATTACAGATATTCATATAGCAAAGTTTAAGTGTAAAAAGGCAGTAGATTTCAGAATGGACAGTAAAAATGTTTAACGAAAAAAATTCCTCACAGAGAATGATTTACTCAACGTTTGTCATTCTAAAATTATTTTATGTTGAACTTTAAACACATTAATCTAATCATGAATACATAAATCAGTTGGGAGTAAATATTAAAACTCATGAAAATATGTTTACTTTAAGCATGTTTTTATATTTACTTAAAATGTTGTAGTGAAGAAGTTTTACAATTACAGTAAAATATTAAGCATTTTATTTTCTAACTGATTCTTTTTGACTGAAGGAAGTTCTCTTTATGAACAATTTAATTTTTAGGAACTTGTGCGGGATTGTCCAGGGAGTTTCTGATTTACTGGTGTGGCAAGCAAGTATTCTGGCAAGCACCAAGGAAGGATACACTAACCCATATACTTTAAGGTACTGTTAAGAGTGTAAATATTTGTAAAAATGCTGTTTTGAACATGCAGCAATGTGAATTGCTACATTTGAATTCAGCAATTTCAAATGAATTTTATCAAAAAACATGCTTTCCCCCATTGAAAAAATAAATTATTATACCCCATGCAACTAGTTGCGGGGGGTATAATGTTTTTGACCCGTCCGTCAGTCAGTCAATCAGTCCATCAGTCCTGTTTTTTTGTCAGCGCAACTCCTCCTAAACCGCTGCACAGAATTTTGTCAAACTTTGCAGATATTTAGGACACAATGTGTAGATGTGCATAATACCAGGAAATTCCGATTCCCTTATTTTTTCTGGGAATTTCGGCACTTTTCAACTTAGATTTTTGGCCATATCTTGAATATAGAGATGAACAGTTCGTCAGCGCAACTCCTCCTAAACCGCTGCACAGAATTTCGTCAAACTTTGGAGATATTTAGGACACAGTGTGTAGATGTGCATATTACCAGGAAATTCCAATTCCATTATTTTTGCCCTAAGAGTTTTGCCTATTATTGAAGAAACTTTCCAGCTAGGTAATAAGGAAATCCACTGGAATCAGCCTTTGTAATGACATTTTATGTGAAATATTTTATGACCTTAAAAGACCCCTATTGATTTTGAGATCAAAATATTAATGATTTAACACACACACAAAATCTTGAATCTTGGATAGTTCTGATGTGATGATTTTTTGCAAGTAATGCCCCTTTTTGAATTATACTATGTATTTAAAATACACTGTGCCATTCAGTATGTGTTGCATTGTCGAGTTTTGGGGGAGCGTGGGGTATGTGAGCTTGCTCACTTTTTCTTTCATTCACAATAATAACTAAATTATTTAAGTTTCCAATTTCCTTCAGTTTTAATGATTTTCTCATTCATTACCTCCTCATTTAGCCAGCTACAAGCCACAACACCATGCTCATGATTATGAGAAGGAGTTCTAAGCTGCTAAACAAGTTCATGAAATCTGCCAACTGTATTTTTAAATGTTAATAAGTACATGGAGTAATGCTGAATGTAGCTTTTCAGTTTGCTTTCTTCATTCACATCAGTCACGGTAATTGCTGGCCTTGCTTGATTTGTCAGGTACAACTTTGATTCTGTTTTATTCGTCCCAGTTAAGAACTTGTACGGCTTAGATCAAGGTAAACCAAGGTAAATCACCAGAAAAAAAAAAAAAAAAAATTATCTCGCAAAAATGGAGGAGAAAATGAAATATTATAAATTGAGTTTTCCTATAATTATGTTATTTCTTATGATTAAAAAAAATGCAAAAATAAAAGATTAAAGAGTGAAGCAGTGGCAAAAAGATGATATTTTTTTTCTCAAGTTTCTTTGAAATTTGTTTTAATTCATATTTAAGTTGATTTGTCTGGATATTGAGTATATGAAGAACAAGAAAAGAAAAATACTAAGTAACAGAAAACTGGAATTCACACCAAGACAGATGGCAGCAATAAGGGATGGAAAGATTTAATTTCATAGGAATAAATGAAGCCATGCATTTGAGCAAGCAAACTTTTTTTCCTTTCTGACAAATTATAAATGCAGTTGAGCTTCGATCAGAATCTCAGACATCAATATCTTGAATGCCATGGATAAGAGGTAGTGAGTTGGAAATCCTAATCTTTTTTAGTTCACCTGAGTCACTCAGGTGACCTATTGCTATCTGTTTTTGTCTGTTGTGTGATGTGCATCATCCATACCTTAAACTTTTGGACATTTTCAGCTTCTTCTCTTGAACCACTGAACCAATTTCAACCAATTTTGGCATAAAATATAGCATTAATGGGTGAAGGGGTACAAAAATTCTGAATTTCATGGTCCCTGCCCCCCTGGGGGGTAGAGCTAAAACCATCAAAATCAGTGCTATCTTTAAAAAATCTTCTTCATTACTCCTGGATACCAAGCAGTCAAACTGTTGTCTAGATTTTAGTGAGCATTGAGTCCTTTACCAAAATTGTGAAATTCATGGCCCCAGGGTCAGGAGTTCTGGAGTATGGGTGGGGCTCTAATGATCATATAGTGAAAATGCATAAATTCTTTAAAAATCTTCTTCTCTCCCCCTGTATATAAAGCAGATAAAATAGGGAATGAAATTTGTTAACTAATAGTGCTCTAAAATTATTGTTTTGTTTAGTCCACATGAGGATAGTGACAAATGGGGGAAAGTACATGCAAATAAATAGATCAACTTTCAGATTTGTTACTGAGTACTGAATGAATATTTTGCTGATCCCTTATCATCCTATTTCTCTTGCTTTTGGGCAACATAGCTTCATTATCAGCTTATTTTTTTTAATTTTAATCTATGGATCATTCATTACATTATACTCAGGTGACCATTAAGATCCTTGGGCCTCTTATTCTTTATGCACATGTATTTGAACCTCTATATCTCAAATCCTTGAATAATGAAGTTTCATTGTTAGGATATTATGAATATTTTAAAAATATTCTTCAGAGAAAGGAAATTTCCATCATGTCCCTTTCTGAACTTTACCCAAGTTCCAAAGGATTAATAGTTCTCACTTCTGAGTTTAAATAGAAAGAACACTATCAGATCAGTTAATGCCAGTTGCCCTAACAAACTTCAATGTTTACAGTTGCTAAGAAAAAAGGAATTCCTTAGTTTGAAAGTATGTACAGCATCATGTACATGTAATACATATTATGTTCTGTAAATTTTAACCTTGGCCACAAATTTTAAATGGTTGATGCTAGGACTTTCATGTTTCATCTGTGATTCTGTGTGGCATACCTTTCTTTGAGTACCAACATGTTTGACATTGTGATCTGGAGTTCGACCAACATTTGAAAGACTTTAACCTTGGTTATAACTTCTGAATGGTTGGTACTAAAGCATTCTTATATGTATTTTTTTGTGACCTTTCTTTGAGTAGCAACATTTTTTACCTCATGAACTATACGTTAAAGTTTGAGTTTGTTATCAATTTCTGTGGTGAGATTTGGATATCTCATGGATACAGAGCCAATTCTCAGACACCAGCCTTGTTGAAAAAAAAATCCAATTTGGTTGGTTAATTAGTAAATTTATACACATATACTGTATATTTACTTTAAATAGTTCAAATAAATTCGAAATAAATAGAAAGAAATAGGCAAATTATTTTCTTAAAAATCTTAACTGAATGTGTTGTACAAACAAGAACAAATATCATCATTTCACATTGGTAATTTGAGCTTGTATAAGACTTATTATACCCCCGCTCCGAAGGAGAGAGAGTATATTGTTTTACCCTTGTGTGTCTGTCTGTGTGTGTGTCCATTTGTCTATCTGTCTGTCTGTCTGTAACAAATTTTTCGTCACAGTTTTCTCAACAACTACTCATCGCAGATGCTTGAAATTTTAGCACACCCATTGTTTAGGCATGCCATATGGTGGGATTCATTTTAGTATGAATCCGATGTCAACTTCCTGTTTATCCATGTGTCTGTCTATACCATACATAACAAATTTTGGTTGCACTAAGCCAGTTTTCTAAGCAAATATGCATTGCAGATGCTTGAAATTTTAGCACACTATTTGTTGAGGCATGACATATGGTGGGATTAATTTTTGTACGAATCTTATGTCAACTGCCTGTTAATCTGTGCGTCTGTCCGTACCATACATAACAAATTGCAGTTTTCTCAGCAACTACTTATTGCTGATGCTTGAAATTTTAGCACACTCTTTGTTGAGGCATGCCATATGGTGGAATTCATTTTTGTATGAATCTGATCTCAAGTTCCTGTTTATCCTTGGATCTCTCTGTACAATTTGTAACAATTTTCCTTACAGTTTTCTCTGCAGATTGTAGACGCTTGAAATTTTAGCACACCCTTTGTTGAGGCATGCAATATGATGGGATTGATTTTTGTACAAATCTGTTGTCAACTTCCTATTTATTCCTGTGTCTGTCCGTAAGTGAACTTGTGTACATGTATATTAACATCAGTCACATCAGAGCAGGGGTATTACTAGTGAGCATTGGCTCACAGACTTCTTGTTTTAATTAACACTTTTTAATTGTTACACTGGCTGGAAAACTGATTACAAAAACAAAGCCTTTTACCAAAAACAATTCTCAAAAATATATGTGCTGTTGCAAATTTTGTTGAATGTCATATAACTGATACTATAAAAATTGGTCACAAGTGATTTGTACTTTCAGTAATACACCACCCCTGCTGTCAATAGCTTTTAATAATACCATATCTTGAAGTCTTTCTTCTATCATTTGCTATGATTGCTAAGTTAAATCCTGCCCACTGTCAGTTGCTGTTAGGATAAATAAGAACTATTGAGTTCTGTTGGATTTTTAGAAAAACTGAATCATATCATCCAAGTGAACTATTTTTATTTGCTTTCGTTTGTCGGGGGTGGAAAATCTTTAAAATTCAATGAACTGTTAACAAGTCATCTTTACATATTTTGTGCACATTTATCACACTGTCTTATGTGCTGATTTTTATAAACAATGACTGGTATATTACAAGGCTCTTGTCTCTTTTTACAGATCACCACCCCATCCATTCATAACTATACTGACCAACCGGCCGGATTCATGGCCCCTGCTAGGTAACCAAGTGAACTTCATCAGTAGTGTGAAGGAAAAAAGGTAACTCTAGCTAGTCAGTCACCAAAGCATTGATTTATGGCATCAGTTGCCAGTATTTCCTTTATTTTTAGTTTTAAAGGACACCTGGTATTTACTGTTTTAGCATTAGCAGCCATTTTTGGAAGCTGATGGTCCTTAGTGGACATTAAAAGCTGCACACACACATCAATAAACACTGTTGTTGTGATGGAGCTGCTAGTAGCAGCTGACAGACAAGAAACCCATGGAAATCTTTTAGTGAATCAAAAAAAAAAAAAAAAAAAATCGGAGTCTGAGTAATTTCCTTTGTAACTGATATTTAGAACAAAATAATTAACAAACATTTAGTTGACTGAGATGTATTATTCCTGTTGGGTACTTACATTTTATTGATAAAAGTATACATGTAGGTTGGGCAGATCATGGAGCAAAGCCTACCATTTATGTCTTAGGCTCTAGATAATTTACAAACATTTGATTATTTATGTTGAGTACTTACATTAAGTTATAGAGGTAGATCCTTAAGCTCTCTGGCAGTAGTTACAGTACCCAATTAACCTGTTCCATGTCTCTGATGGAACAAAAAGTCAGCAGCTGCTCTTCATTTGTTGTCTATTTAGGGTTTGGTAGTGGACTTGAAGTTTTAATTTCAATTTAGTGTGTTTTCAATTTCGCTGATGCACAAAACTGAGAGTTAATGAAGTAGTATAAGTCTAGGCCTAGGAGACACAGCTATAAAATTCTCTAATCATTACACTAAGTGGGAAGAACAGAGGATGCAGTTTAAAAATTGGAACTCATAAACAATTTTTTTTTCATAATCTATTCAATTGACTGTAAATAAACCCACTGAGGATTCTGTCCATCATTTGTCTCTCAGTGGGACCAATTAATTAATTTCATAAAACTGTCACTGATGAATTCAAAAGCTTCAATACAGATTTAATCACTGTAATAGAGGACTAAGACAGTATATAGTACCTTTTGCAATACATTTGTTATTAATTCAATTTCATTAATATATTGGAGAAACATCACAGTCTTTGATTTTTATACCCCCGCTCTGAAGGAGAGAGGGGGATATTGTTTTACCCTTGGTTTTCTGCCTATGCATCTGTCCGTAACAAATTTTCGTCACAGTTTTCTCAGCAACTACTCATAGTAGATGCTTGAAATTTTAGCACATTCTTTCTTTTGGCATGCCATATGGTGGGATTCATTTTTGTATGAATCGGATGTCAAACCTAGAGAACGATTACAACTTTGTATGATGAAATTTGGTAAAACTTTTATGTATGTCCAGTAAAAGGCAAAGCAAGAAAAAAGCTAGCAGGTTCAATCTAAAGTCATTTCTTTCTTTTCCATTTTAACAACAAAACATCTTGAAATAAAAATTCCAATGAACATCTTTTCTCTTTTGTTCAAATTAACATATATTAAACATTCTGGCAGATTTACTTGTTAGTATTAATAAATATATATATACATAGTTATACAAAATTACATGTATGTATCTGAAAATGCATTGATTTGTAAATTTTGCAAATATTGTATACTTTAAATCTTCATGTTTAACTGTGACTTAATTTAAATTTGTAATATGTTGACAGTGCGACCGTTAGGGCGAGCACAGATATTTATTCAGGTTTAATTTAGATCGGGCTCGTTTGTCAAACTGCACGTGACATTTGGTGCGTCTAGACTCTGACGTCACATGACGTCGTATTTAAGTTGCATTACCAAACCGAAGCCTGAACATTGTTGACTTTAATGAAGAACGTTTTATTTACTATTTATCTGCAATATACCCATTAAATCAAGGCGAGTTTATTTTTTGTTAGTCAAACTGTTGTTGTTATTCTCGCGAGAACGTAGCTTAAACAAGTGATGCATTGTGGGTCCAGAATTACTGTGGAAAAAAATTCTATTGAATGAATGTGCAGTAGTCCGAATTTTCTCTTCGCCCAGGCGTTGTCGTTAGATCTCGCAGTGACGAGCCGCACTTTGCGCCGCTCACTGCGCTCACTGATATACATGTAGGGAAAAGCTAAGTTTTTAAAACTTATGCCCAATCCCTTTGTATAAAATTAATTACAATGAAATATATTCAAACCAACCAACTAAATGTCGCTGTATGTTTTTCAATTTTATCAAGATGAAATTCATGTTTCGTTATTATTGTAATAATATAATAATGTAAAAATGATAAAAGTGATTTTTTTATCAGCTAAAAACTTGTTAGAAACATTTAACTGCAATATTGTTGTTATCTCCTACACTTTATTTTGGACTAAATTTAGATTTTTGATTAGATTTTTAAATGTCGGAAGTCTTTTGAAGTTACCAGATCATGAAAACTTCCTATATTTTTGTATTTTATATTATTTGATAGTTTTTCATTGATCATGATGACATAATAAATAAAGAAGACTGACTTGCTGAGTGATCATTGTTCCATCCTTTATTTTTAAGTAAAATATAAATGAATATTTTTACAGACCACACAAGCTTAAATGTATGTTTCATTTTACTGCTGAAGATATTTTTTGCTTGTTTGTAGTTTGATACTGTTAACGTGGTAAGCTTTGTATGTCAAATCCTATTGTGACGTCGGCAAACCTGGGATCTACCTTAAATGTGATCTGTAGCTAGCCTGGTTCCCTGGCTCACCCTTGCCAAGGCAGGAGAGCCAGGTGGATTACAATCGATGCTGTCCCTTAATTGGTCAGACCACTTCGCACTAAATCCTGAAATTTTTAGCCATTGCTGTAACCACGGAAATAAATATTGACGTCACAATGATATATTGCATCGACGGCGTAGAAAATATAATGTCACAATGAACTTCTACTCCAGAAGCGCAGCTAAATACGAAGCAAAATGGGCTCAGATTCAGGGCAGATTCGCCCTGAATCCATTGTAGTCCACCTGGCCCTAGTGTCGTGAAGTATACGAAGCATAACAGGGACAGGGAACCAGGCTAATCTGTAGCTTACCCATTAAATACCAAGAAACAAATAAAAAAAATATTAATTCTTTAAAATAAAAATTGCTTTAGAATTCAAAGTCTTGCTGTTGAGATATTGGAACCATTCATGAAGTTTGTTTTTGCTGAACCACTGGACAGCCCACAGTATCAACCAATGAAAATATGCCTACAGAGGGAGCTACTTACCATTGTCAGCCAATCAGATGATAGCAGAACAGTTGAAAAATTCCTGGGATGTATTGCTAATATTTTGCCTTGTCTACAGGTACAGAATAATTGATTCTACATTAACATATAGCAATACATGACAAAGAAATGAATAGATCAGGTGAGACTAAATACTGAAAAGTACAGAGTAAAGATAAGTATAGGGAGGAATGCAAAAGAGGATCAAGGTAATGGCAAAATAGTCATAAAACCAGGGAGGGATAGTACTGAAGAGTAACAACTCTTCTGCAAATATAATTTTTTGCTTATCTAAAATATATCTTGATATTCTTAATAAAAAACTGGTCATTTTTAGTGATTTGAATATGCAAGCATCCTCAGCAGATTCAGGTTCGTTCAAAGCATGACCCCCCAGGTGGAGAGAGGGGGCAACAATAGTAGATCACATATATATGAAAGTAAAAAAAAAATCTTTTTATGAGTAAAAGGGAAATTGAAAAAAAAAATCTGATGATGAAGAACAGCAGCACCAAGTCGACTCAAGTGTGGTTTGTTTCTCATGAGCCTCAATCTTGTTCCACTATGGAAATTAGATAGAATTAATTTCTAAACTAGATTCCACAAAAAAAGAAAAAAAAACTATAATATTTCCTTAAATTGATATGTAAGCATCTCAATATAGTAAAACTGTAAAAAATATTCATATTTGTTGAGGCCAAATTTGAGACCAATATTTTACAAATACATGTAAAAAGGTATTGGAGGAATTATTTTCTATTTTCTCAAATACAAGGAGAGCTTCATATTGTGAAATTTTGACACTTTTATTGTGAAAAACAATTGCTTATGATGTTGATTGACAGCCCAGCTTCCTTTGCAGTCTGAAATTTGTGTGTCATTGCATCAAGCGCCTTTGAGCCAAATCAGGCTCAGTTGAATTACCCAATTATAAATTTTCTAATTCAATAGTGAAAGCAGTATAAAAGTAGATAGGAATTAGATAGGATTTTAAAAAAAAATGTTTTTCTCAAGAACAAGGTGGCTTTCATTTGTATAGTTATAATTACTGTGTAAGTATCTTTATTATATCACAGCTTCAGTTAAAGTTCTATTTTTTGGCACAAATGGAAGCACATCAGGGCTTATTAAGTTTTTACCAATCATTTGTATAGTGTTAAATTCAAAAAAAAAAAAAAAAAAGGAAAGTGATGTAGACAGAATTCATTAAATTTAGTGACCCAGCAGTGAAGACGTTGACTTTGAAGACAATAATGTATAGGAATTAATTATGTTTGGAAAACCTGTATTGATTCATGTTGATTATGCAATTCACTATATTTTGTGTAGTTGAACAAATAGCACCTGCAGTTTACTAGTATTCTAGACGTCTCGCACCTGTGCTGTGGAAAACAGCAAGCGTGGAATTTGACGTACATCGTTTGGGTTAATATTGTTATTAGTCAATTATTATGATGATCAAATCTTGACAGGAAAAACAGTCTTGTTTTTTAAGGTCACTTTAGTCACTCAGGTGACTGATTGCTGTCCATATAAACATCCAGCATCATGCATCAGTCATAAACTTTTGAACATTTTCAGCTTCTTCTCTGAAATGGCTGGCCCAATTTTAACCAGATTTGGCATAGAGTGTCTATGGGTAAAGGGGAAAAAATTTGTAATTTTATAATTTTCTTCCTCTGTGTGTGTGTGTGTGTAAAGGTGGGGGGGGGGGGGGTAGCCAATTCATCCAATTTAATGCAATCTTCAAAAATCTTCTTTACTCCTGTCATCAGAAGCAGACAAACTGTTGGCATGATTATAACAAACAATGAGCCCTTTACCAAAATGTTAAATCCATGGCCCCTGGCTTCTGGGTCAGGCCTCAAGGTGAGGAGTATAAGTTGCTCATATATTTTGAAAATGCATTTTATATAAGAACATCTTCTTTACTGCTGGACATCAAAGAAGTAAAAGCTTTCATTATATAAATGAACAATGAACCCTTTACCAAAATTGTGAAATTAATGTGAACAGGGTCAAGGCCTCAGGGCAGGGTTAAGTTGGTCATGTATTGAAAATACATTACACCTTTAGAAACTTTCTTTACCTGTATAATTTTGGATATTTAGTGGACAAAACTGTTCACATGATTTTAGTATTAGTAAGCACTGAACCCTTTACCAAAATTTTATCCTATGAGTATACGAAACAGGCCCCTAAAGATGCCACGTTTGTTACATATTGAAAATAAATTTATCCTTTGAAAATGTTCTTCTTTACTCACAGACATTTAGCAGAAAAGCTGTTTGATTGATTGATTATGATTAACACTTAGAATTTGCTACCGGAATGTGTTAATTTCATGGCCCCAGGATCCATGGTTCAGGTCCTAGGGTGAGATCTCCCCCCAAATTTTTTTTTTAACTCATGGACATCTAGCAGGCAAACTACTGAGGGATTATTCTTTTCTGGGGTAAGGCACGATTGGCTTGGATTGAAAAGTTCCCATGTTAATATGTGGCGTGATCTTTATTGAAACTTTGCTGTTTTACATGCAAACATATTGCAGCTAGCCATTTACTAAAATTTTGAAATTTGTGTCCTCTTGGCTCAGAATTCAGGCCATAGGGTCAGTTTCAGTAGGTCAAAGCTTAAAATATTTTCATTGAGTTATCTTTGAATCTTATTTATTCTATTTAGCAAACTTTATGCTAGGTGTCAAAAAGCTATTTGGCCTTTACTAAATTCATTGAAGCATTATCATACCTGAGGCCCAAGGGTCAAGCTAAGTTGATCATATATTGTATACAGGCTTATTTTGGCCCTTTCACACTTACAAGCAATTTTGCCCCGTTTTAAATTTGCCCAGTCACAGTTCTGTTTAAGAAATTATACTGTGTTCTTTGAATTCGCCCCATTTTAAATTTGCCCACCTGTGAGTAGGGCGAAAGGGGCGAAAATAAAACGGGGGCAAAATTTCCCTGTATACAGTATACTCAGTACATTGTATCTAAAAGCACTTTATGTCTACATATTTTTCTACAAGACTTCCTGCTCCAGGTGGGTTGATCATATCAAGAGAACTCGGGTAACCATCAAGGCCCATGAGCCTCTTGTTTTTATTCAGCCATATTTTCTTAAAAATTTGATTTTTTGGGGGGAAAATATTTGCTAAGGGAAACACTCAGAATTTTTCAAATTGATATAAAAAAAAGGCAGTTCCTCTTCCCGACCTTTGTTGTTATATTATTTATTAGAATATAGAATAAGATCAAGGACTACAGAACCAATTCTTCTGCTGTGACAGCTAGATGATTAAGTTTGTCAAATTTCAGAGCATTTTAGTGAAATATTTAATTAGAATGAATTCATGAAGAAACTTTAAAAAATCATATACCTAAATGAAATTTTCCAATTCTTCATGATGATAAAAGACATGCTAAAAAAATATGAATTTTATAACATTACTTAAAAGTTACTCAAAATCTAAGTCATGTACACATGTACCTACATCTGTATATTTTCTTTAAAAAGAAAAAGAGATTTTCAATAGCAAAGTATATTTTGGAGGCCTTGACACATGCATTCTGAATTTATGAAATTGTTACTCCGAAAAAAAAAAGCCCAGTTATCTATAACTTGATTTTAAGCATCTTTTACTGAATGAGGTTGATCTTGAGAACCTGATTTTCATGATTTTTTTCTTAAAAAGAGTATTTATGGATTTAGTTTTGGTTGAAAAATCAAAAAATTAAATAATGTTATGAAAAGCAATTTAAATTCAAAATAATCTCTAGATACTCTTCAAATGCTAGATTTTTCCTGCACTAAACTTCTAGTATTTTAAAAGATTAATTTTTTTTCTCTTTGTAGGTAAAAGACAAGAATTCCTTGGGAAGTACCGCCCAGTTTGTGATGGGGTTTGTTGATGTATGTCGAGCCAAAATATCAGGAAAGGAAGCAACTTTCCAAAAGTTTCTGACATACTTAGTGGATTTGTGCTTGGAGTTTCACAGCCATTCCCTTGATGTATCTAATATTATGTGTTCCCTAGTCAGGGTGGCAGAAAGTGCTCCATCAGTAAGTAGTCCTGTATATCTGTTCTATTTATCACCATACTGTTAATTTTAATTTATTTCTGTGCAAGAAGTAATTGTCATGATAGGTTTTCTGTTGACCCATTGTTGCAAATTTATGTCATCACAAGGCAGTCTTCACTCTATATATACAATGTATGCTTTGTACAAAATAAGAAGGTTTAATACACAAATTGTAATACTGTATACCGGGTTATTTTTTTTCCCATGTTATTGTCACCCTTTCACACTTGCAAACAATTTAGCCCCGTTTTGAATTGTCCAGTCACAGTTTGGTTTAAGAAATTATACCTTCTTCTTTGAATTCATACTGTCTTAAATTCACCCACTTTTGTCTTGGGCGAAAGGGGCGAAAATAAAACGGAGGCGAAAATTTCCCTGTATACAGTACATATGTATTGTGGAATCATTACACTGTTATTTACCGAGTATAAGTGCATCATTATTTGTTGGACTTGAAGGCAAAAATGTCCGAAACCAAAGGCAGAGAGAAATATTTTTGGTTGAGAGTCCAACAAATCAAATGTTTCTCAGACAATAATATTAATCATTTTGTTCTGCCTTCCACTTGCCAATGTGTTGATAAATTGAGACCCTATCTTTATATGAAAGAAAAACTTGTGAGCAATCATATTGGATATATTAGTACATGTAATGCCATACGATAAGATGTGATGTAAGCAGTCCAGAAATTTTGATGTTGGACAGGTAGGCAGTCCAATATTAAAAATATTGGACTGTTCCCCAAAGCATCTGAAATGTTGATTTTTTTTTACCTTCAGTATTAGTGTAGTAAAATATTTGAGTATACCAATATATTTTGTGGGATCTAAATTTTCATGAATTTGTAGGCATCCCTGAACCAGAAATATACAACATCAAATGAGCATTGATATACATATTGAAAAGACATTTGCCCAATAAATTACACCCCAACAAACCTCTAAGTTTTTGGTCCCCCAATGAATCAATGATTCCACATTAGTAACAGGTTTCAATTCAAGATTGTCATAGAAGATATGTTGTTGATAAAAGTGATAAGGTCTGTTTGGTTACAACTCTATTTGTTTTTAGGCTTTGTCATCAGACAACAACATGATCTCCATGGGAAGTCTACTTCTGAAGACAGACATAAAGGAAGCAGTTGTATTACTGACAGCAGGTACTCCATTGCTTCCTTCTGAATTAAAGTCAGTAAAAAGTATTAAAGGGAATATTTGGTCTTAGCCATGTGAATCTGTGATTCAATCACTATTTCAGACCTGCCTACCCTTCTTCCGCTTTTTACCACAAAATTACGCTGTTACGAAAACTAATTTTACGCTTTTGAATATTCTTCCTAGAAAACTTCTTAATGGAGGGCTAACTTGGGAGTTAAAGTAAAGGCGTTCCTAAATGAAAATGAAAGGTAAATAATACTAATTAATAGAGATTTCCGATTCTTCAGGATATGATCATTTACCATATTAACAACAAACGTAATATATCTTGTAGTTATAATATGACTTTTAAACGGATGGCATGCCAAAGATTAGAAAACTTTTGAATGATATGTTCAATAAGTAAAGTTAGTTCAATTTTCAATTCATTAGCATGGAAATATAACTCTGAATTATGTGATTTGCTAGAAATTAACCAAACGTTCATTAAGCGTGTAAATTTAAATAAGTTTGACATGACTGCATTTAGGATACCAGTTTTACAACACATGGACTTTTTGTCATTACATGATTTGAAAAAGAAACATTCATGCTTGTTTTGTTCAATGATGTAGAATTACCGGTTTATTTAGACAATATAGTTACATTGTAAAACATCAAACTAGGGAAACATGAAGGATTACGCCTTTACTTCTGAAATTCCACCAAAATGAGCATTGAAATTACACCCCCGCAATGAAAAGGGTAGGCAGGTCTGCTATTTGCTCTTGAATGCTAGCTGTTACAAATAATGGTTGAATCACTCTCAAGCACTAGCAATAACTTAAGTGATTGAATCACATAATTGAATCAGTGATTGAATCTGTGATTGAATCACTCTCGAGTGCTAGCAATTACTTAAGTCTTTTTTTTTTTTTTTACTGAAATATACATATTCAAATTCAGGGTATGGCATTGTGGGAAAACATCATGTCAGTTTCATATTTTCACAGTCTATGCGAAAGACATCGGACCGTCGGACCTGACCGATTTGCAGTGCCTCTGGTCCGATGCGTCATTTTTTACACTGGACCAGAATGTCCGATTTCTCAGCGTCCGGTTTTGAGCTTTACTATTTTGATGCGGAGTCATTCAAATGTTTGTTATAAGTAAAAAAATATCGCACAAATCCAAATACATAAATAAATTGATTAAAACGGCATGGACCGTCTACAGTAATAAGATTTCCTTGGTTCTGCATTTTCACGTATTTCACTTTTTTACATAAGGTTTTTTCGGTCTGACAAAATTTGGTTCGGTCCTGTGTGTTCATTGATTACACAGGACCGAATGCCCTGTGTGGTCAAAAAAACTTTCGCATAGACTGTTTTCAGCTGAAAACACCTATTACCTATGTTTCATATTTTGACATATAACATACACCTATTACCTATGTTTCATATTTTGACATATAACATACACCTATTACCTATGTTTCATATTTTGACATATAACATACAAAAAAGGAAACATAATAGGCCTTATTATGCTAAGACTGAAGCTTTTTAGAATCAGCTCAATCAGTTCTTAAATTGCAGATAACAACTCCAGCTTAATTCAATTACAGAACAGTACTGCAATGGAATATATGTATATTCTGATTTGGTCCACTGATTTCTTTAAAACATATGTTTCATTCATTTGTCAGGAAAAGAATAACAATTTAGATAAACATGATGGTCCTTGGATCTCTTGGTCAAAGGATGACTGCACTTAACGCCTGTTTTTGGGTCTTTTTCGGTTGTTTCTGTTGCTTTTATATCTAGACCTTATCTCACTTTTGTATGTTTATGAAAGAATACTGTTAATTTGGAACCGCATTTAAATCTTAAAATGATTTTAGACTGTGATACAATAAAATAATTCAATGTTTTTTGTCTTTACTGCTTTCCAAATATAGCGAATTTACACTTACCTGCCCTTGATTGAACATTTGATATGCATGAGAGGTGGAGCTAACATTGTAAGAATGGATCTAAAATTAGACTAGATAAATAACAATGACATGTTTGGAAAAGCGAACGTGATCACTCTTTCCAATCTCACTCTCCATTCTGAATGGCACAAATACACTTCTGACAAAGGTTTCAAAACGAAATTTACAATATGAGCACGTCAATGTAATTAAAACAGATTTTATATCAATGCCAAATGACTTAACATGTTCGAACACAATGTCCTAGTTAGCACAAAACATGCTACCTTACAAGTCACGTGACGGAATTTAGTATTCACAAAGTTACCTGAGGTAAGAAATCAAGTGGTGAATTATAATATTCAACATGTCACAATCCTTGGTTACAACACAGAGAGCGAATGTAAGAAGAAGCAGTTTTTTCTCTTTTTAACCATGAGCGCATGTTTGTCTATTAATCTCCTTTTGACACATTATTATTTATGCAAATATACAACTACTGTTAAACGTAGAACAATAGACAAACATGCGCTGACTATGTATAAAGTCAGTAAAAAAGTGGGCGTCCTCATTATCGAACGGAGATTCAAGAAATTGTGATGACCCCTGCCTTTGAAAACAGATTCGAACTTCGTAAATTCACACTTTTATTAAACGTAATTACATAAAGTTGTAGATTGGATGTTGACCATTCTAGCAATGAAAAGAAAAATGCTTGTTTTGAAAGTTTATTTTGTTGCAAATTCCGCATGTCCCTAAGTGCAGTCATCCTTTATCCCTTGAAAAGTTCAATGCAGAACTGATTGTGAGCATGCATAAAATTTATAAAATATAATTTTCAGTAAGAAGGATTTTGGAAAATGAATCTGGAGACCTGAGTTTGGTTGCCATTGCCTCGCTCATTCTGCCACTTCTGCAGATTTTGTCAATGTCTAGCTCTGGGTCAAGGACACATGATTTAAAATCTACGACCTCTGTCTCTGGAGAAGTCCTGAAAATCATAGAGGAGAAACTGGTGAAAACACAACACAGCAGAGAAAAACAGGTGGGGATATTAATAGAGCTGGGTATTTTAAATACCTTACACACTTAATATTGTCCATACACAATAACTTGACCTGACAGAGTAACCTTTGGATTAATATTTAGGTGATTTTACAGTGAGTAAATTAGTTACTTTTTCAATAATCATGTCGTTAAAAGTAGTTTTTCTGGCTAAGATTTTATTAACTGTGATATCACTAACTTTTCATGGAAGCTCATGTTTTTATTGTTATTGTGGTATGAAGAGACCTAGGAATTCATAACCTCCATGAAATGAAAAATATCAAATACATAACATCGCACACTTCTTCAACCACAAATTCAATCCCCAGGAACCAATTTTTTCCTTTAACCACAAAAAGTTTACCCCCACAAAATATGTGATTTTCCAGTATCCTTTTTTTTCCTTCCCCCTCCTCCCTTTTTTTTGTTTTTTTTTTTTATTTGTTTGTTTGTAAGTATTTTTAAAATCATTTTGTATTTAATTGAAAATTTCATGTATAAGCAGAGGTTTCATGTTGATACCCAATTATTCATATTAATTCAGTGCAACTATTTTTAGCTAAGCTCACAGCTGAAACTCAAGTGCTGAGCTTTTCTCATCACCTCATGTCTGCCATCCCTCTGTTTGTCTAGCTGTTTGTCTGTCCATACATAAACTTTTCACATTGTGACTTTTTGAGAAGCACTTGGCAATTTTAACCTAAGTTGGCACAAAGCATCCTATCTCAATGGGAATTCTGAATGAAGGCCCAAGCCCCTTTCCAAGGGAGATACTGTAGATCACTAAGATTTCAAGAATCACTGGACCAGAAAAGAAAAAACTTATGTGAAAGCTTCCTGATATAATGTTGATTCTGCATTGTTCAAACAATGGCCTCTGGGATAAGGTAGAGTCCACAGTAGGGGATCAAAGTATTACATTGGAATAACTAGGATTTTTAAAAAAAAAAAACAAAAAAAAACAACTTTTTCTTTAGAACCACTGGGACTTGAAATTTAAGATGAAACATATGCAAGCTTCCTAATATAATGCAGACTCTAAATTGTTCAAGTCATGCCCTCTGGGGTTAGGTTGGGGGCACAATAGGAGATCAACTATGTAACAAAAATTTTCAAAAATCCTCTGAAGAACCACAGTAGAACCATTAATTTGCAAACATTTCCAAGTTGTGAGAGTTTGATTTGATTTTGGGTTTGAATTGACTTAAATTGGGATCAAATTTTACATGATGCATATGTTAGGAAACAAAAATTTCTTCTCCATAAGGCCATGCTAGACATTTTGATATTGAAGCATTCTCATGAGGCATGGATTCAGAGACTCCTAGGTTATAGGGTGGGGTCATAATATAGGGTCACGATTTTTCATGTGAATATGAAAGAGAAAATTCAAAGATCTTATTGAAAAGTATGTTACTCAGGTGAGCATTGTGGCCCATGGGCCTCGATTGGACTCAGATTTTTTTTTTTGGACTCAAAAAAAAAAAAATGTTCTTATCTTCCAAACATTCATGCAATTAATTGTTTATTATACTAAATCAAGCCAAACACTTTATAATAGTCTGTCAAATTTGGTGCCATTTTCAAATTTATATTTAATGACAAAGAAGTCAGAAACTTTTTACAGTAAGTGTTATATGTTTGTTCTTTTAGTCCCCTTTCTCCAGTAAATTCTCACTGGGAATCAGGAATGAACTAATGGCAGGCACATAGACTGTTTACAGCCTGCTAGGTATTTTTGTCCAAAATGATAACTTCCAAAGGGAACATTAGAGGATTCCGAAATGATATTTCTTCCATGTTATCTATTGAGATTTTTTATGTCTAGAGAAATGATAAGCTGATATTATAAGACAGAGACCATGTTTGCATTATTTATTTCATTATTTATCTAGCTTTGTACTGTTGTATGTGTTTTTTTATGATGAATATTTCTCTGTTTCTTTGTAGAAAACATCTCAGTTCAACCCACACCTGACATCATTGACCTTCCTCAATAATAACTTCTCCCTATTGGCTCGAGCTTTAGAGGAGGATGAGGAATTGCCCAGACTATGGCTCCAGAACTTGGTCAATTCTGTCTCCAGTCTGAAGTTTGTCCCAATCCAGTTGACTGTCATTGTATCAGCTCTCTTTGTGTTGTCACCAGGGAAACCCTGGGCTGACCAATCACTGAAGGCCTTACAGGCAATCTCCAAGACTGATCATAAACAGGTGCCATTTTTCTAATGCCATAAAATGTTATTTTTGGCTAATCTGAAGTTTTTCTGTTTGGTTCAGGTTTATGATTTTGACCTGAATGAGTCTCTTGGGAAAAGAAGAAAGAAAGAGTTTAAATTTTTACTCAAGCCCCAGAGGGGTTTGAGTTATCTTAAACAATTCTAGTCATCAATTTACTCAGTTTAAATTCACAAAAAACATATTCTTTAAGTAAATAAAATTTTTTCTGGAGACAAAAATTGAGCTTGTTTCAATAAAATCTGTATATTCAAAGATATTAAGTATTAATTAAATGATTATTATATTTATTGACAAAAGCATATTGAGTGCTTTGCAGCAACAATTTCTAACAAAAGGTATCACACTTGTCACTGAATGCTTGAATATCAGGTAGATTTCTTTAAGGTGACATGGATTCCTCACTGTTTGTACCGGTCCTATCTATCGTATCATTTTGGGCACTTTACTCCTTCGCAACATTGACATGCCGATTATTGAAACTTTCACAACAATCCCGCTGAGTTTATTTACAGTGCAAGTGTCTTGACATTAGGGGATGCCAAGTGGATTGGGGTTGAGATAGATTTTGAAAATAAATAATGTTCTCAGATTGAAAGAAAAGAAATAATCTGACCTTGACAGGTGCTTCCCCTCATCCCCCTATGGAAAAGAGTTTTCTTGTTTGGTACTTTTCCTCTTTTTTTTTTCCTTGTCAAACTTTTTTAAGTGAAGAAAACAAATAATTATTGTCTGGTCATCTTGATGTAAATACAGGTAATTCTCGATAACTTGAAGTCCGCAGGACAGTGTCAAGAGTTCAAGTTTTCATTAGTTCAGAAATTTCCAATTTTTTTTTTGCATAGCTATACAGGTGAAAGAATTTATTTTGGACCACTTATATATTTTAAACTTTTCAGTAATGAACTGATTTTTGCTTTTCTCTAGCCAAAGTGCTCAGGTGAGTGAT